CACCCCTGGTAAATATAGTCATTTCTAAGTAGTACACTGTTATGAGAGATGCCATTAGAGTTATTTTTGTTCACAAAAAACAGGTTTGCAAAATACTACTCCATATTGCGAATGTATTATTGACATGATGGTTTCTTATTTAATCCAATAAGTGTTTATTAAAGGTTTTTACAAACAGACATATATACATACACAGAGCCTAGTATCCAAGGCGGATAATTAGCCCGTAACATCATGAATTTGCATAGGATTACATGATACACAGCGTGTTATATGGCAATGGTATATTCGGGGTAAAACCTACACCTTCTATTCCGTCTAATCAGTGAGTGGGCGGACAGTAGCATTATTGTCCTATGCCTTCCAGCCATGTCGCCTCCACAGTGGAGGCCTTAATAAAGCAGACATCAATAGTAGGGTAGATTGGCCTATACCAGCTCACTGAAATCCTGAGAATGTCACTATATATAAAGTCCCATAATAACGCCTAAAGTGTATCAGAAACGTAGAGACATAGGGGGAATATACAGGTAGAAAAATAGTAACGAAGGATGGAAGGGGGAGAAAAAGCAGGGGGACACGGAAGGGTCAGGGGGTAAGGAGTCACCTCACTAGGGGGGAACACTGCATGTGGAGAGCCCACAGTGAAGGGTTTCAAGGCGCCCCCCCCCCCTCTACAGCACCACTCAACCGCCAGGACTTTTTAAGGGAGGATCTCAGTCGTGAACCCAGCCGAGGCCCGGAAGTCGAGCCAGACAGACCAAGTGACTGTGTATTTGTCTCTGGTGTCATGCTCATCCGCAAACAGTCGCTCCAGGTCCGCAATATGGTCCAATTCCAGGGTCCATTCCGCCAAGGATGGGACTACTGGCGTGCGCCAGTGGCGGGGAATGACTGCCCTTGCCGCCGTCAGGAAGTGCCTCAATAGCCCCCGTTTCACCGATTTCAGGGAGCCTGGTATCATACTCAACAGCGTAACCTTGGGGTCATTAGCGGTCTCGGAACCTGTCACTCTGTGGTAGATGTCCAGCACCTGTTGCCAGAACGCCTTTATCGGAGGGCAGCTCCACCAGATGTGGGTCATATCCCCGGGTGAGGCTTGGCAACGCCAGCATGAGTCTGGAACCTGAGGATAGTAGCTGTGTAACACCGCAGGGCATCTATACCATCTAGTTAGAATTTTTAGGTTTTTCTCCTGGGCTTTACTTGCGACGGAGAGGGAGTGTGAGAGAACAAAAGATCTCCCCCACTCCTCCTCGCTAATGGGGAGGTTCAGTTCACTCTCCCACCTCCGGACATAACTCGGACGCTCCGAAGAGGAGAGAGCTGAGAGGAGAGAGTAAAGTATCGAGATGGTGTGTGTAGGGGGGGAGGATTGTAGAAGAATAGAGTCGAAAGCCGTAGGCTCCGCCTCCAGAGCTTCCGGCTGAAGGAAGGAGGCCACAAAGGAGTGGAATTGCCTATTGGTCAACCACATATTGCCGACGGGTGGATCTGACGTGTGTTCTCTCATGGCCACCACCAGTCTTCTGTGAGATTCCCTAGTCCACCGGCCAAATGAGCTTCTATGAAGAGCAGGAGGAAAGGCTGGATTGTTAAAAAGTGGGGTCATGGGTCCAGTATAGGAGGAAATTCCACAACGGGATACGAGATCTGCCTCTAGTGTGGTAATACCTAGCAAAAGCTAGAATCAGCCTATCCCGTACAGGGAAGGCGTAACCTATGTGGGAGGAAGTGGTCGGGGTAGCGATCCAAGAGATGCTACCAGGGCTCGATAAAGAGGGTATAACCACCCCTCTCCATGTCCATAAAAATCAAACAATTCCCACGAACCCAGAACATTCAAACCTCACGATAACAGGCAGGGGGCCTAAGAAACCAACCGGGATCTACAGGCCCTCCCCACTCGCCCATTAACAGTATGGGAGGTGGGGGGGAGGGAGAGGAGAGGTAGTGAGAGAGTCCCTTAAAACGAGCCCTGGGGTCGCAGCGCTCCGTTCAGCACGTCCTTAGCCCACCATGCTCGGCCACTCCCCTGATGGTTTCTTATTTAATTAGACCCATGCAGGTCTTCTCAGATGCATAACTATACACATCTTTCAAAAAAATCTTAATTCATTTTTTTAAGTTGTGATAAATTTGTGATACATAACATTCCATCTGAAACATTACATTTGGTCTCACTATCCAGAGAATTCCAATACTGCAGACTTTATTGAAAGAGCTGAGAGGTTGTAATTTGGTTGGGGGCGTGCAGTGCTGGCATTTTATTGCTTTATTCATTTTTATTCACTAATATACTGGATTTGCTGTGAATTTCAATAATGCAGTATTGGAATTCTCTGGATAGTGCAGTCTGTTCGTATACTGCTGCATTCTAAAGTGGAGACACACCTATTGGACCAGCACCTGGGGAGTCCTGATGGTGGCTAAAGAATTGGAGCGGTGAGATTTCCTTTGACTCTACATTACATTTGGTCTGTTTGGGTAAATAAATGTGTTCAAAGAGCTAAAAATTGTGTCTCTTCTGTACAATATTATCTTGTATAAACTGTTCTGCTAAAAATCACCACCCCTACTGGTCCCTTCTTTTTTTTTTTCATTTCCCTCAGTGATTTGTTCTTCCCTTTCTAGACAACCTCTGTTCTAAATCAATAACTCACAGAAGACAGTTATTACAGGGCTGCTCATATAAACAGATTCAAAATGACTGATGCTCATGATGGTGTTCTAAGATCACAAAATATAATATGAGAAGTATAATGCCAAACACACAGCCCTTATCTCCAGTCATTTCCTGCTTGTGGCACATTGATTTCCATCTCGACATTCCATACCTTAAAGCCTATTTCAGTTTTTACTTTAACCAGTTGACATCCGCGGTGTTAAACCCCCTTCCCATCCAGGCCATTTTTCAGTATTCAGCGCTGCGGTACTTTGACTGACATTTATTCCGTCATGCAGCGCTGTACTGAAATGAATTTTATACCCTTTTTTTGGGGACAGATAGAGCTTTCTTTTGGTGGTATTTATTCACCACTGGGGTTTTTATTTTTTTATATATGAAGGAAAAATTACAGATTTTTTAAAAAAAAAAACAGTTTCCCCTATATTAAATTCTAAAACATTTATAATTTCCCAATTTTTTGGTAAAATATAAAAGACGGGGTCTAGTCGGGTAAAGAGACACTAAACATGTCAAGCCTTAAAATTGCGCACGCGCGCGAAACCTCAAAAAAACTAAATTACCCAAAATTGGCCATAGGCGACGCATTAAAAGCTTTTACCGCTCATCAGTTTAGTGTTATCAGTGATTGATGGCCCTAAAATGATTGCTTTCACTGCGACGTTCGCGGCGATATGTAACATGTGTAGCGCAATTGTCATTTTCGCGTGCTGGCGCATGCGACGCATATTTACGTTTAAATGTGCGTAAACGAAGGTGGGGGGACTTAAACATTGGGGGGGGGTTTACTTTTTTTTATTTGTGACCTGTTATTTTTTTAAACTTTTTTTGTTTGTGACTTTTATTTTTTTTAACTTTTTTTATTTATATAGATTTTTTTTTTTACACTTATTGTTATTGCTATTATATAGGGGGATACCATCCCCCTATATAATAGCACAGGTACACTGACAGGTCCTCTTTATGGAGACATTAGGGGTCCCTAGACCCCTAATGTCACCTGGAGACCCCAAAAGAAGCTGATGAAGCACAGATTTGCTTCATCAGCTTCTTCTATCTGGCATAGGAGCCAGATGACTGACAGGTGAATGCGGAAGTGATGTAATACACATCACTTCTGCATTCACACTACGGAGGGAGAACAGCAAGGAGCTGATCTCCCTCCCTCCTCCTCCTGATGCCCTCCCGAGCCGGTACCGGGCCGCTGATGGGGCAGCGGATCCCGGGATTAAAGGTGAGGGGTCAGGAGGGGGGAGATGGCGGCACCCGCGATCGCGCGGGGGGGGCTCCGAAATTCACGCCATACAACCGATCAGCGGCTATAGAGCCGCTGATCGGTTGTATGTGAAACAGCCGTTAACGGCTGTAGTAACAAGCGGGTCTTTCCTGCCCGTGCGCGCCTCCCTAGCGTGCGCGAGCAGGAAAAAAATGCCGTCTGACGACGGCAACCCGCAGATAGGAGTCAGCCGTCCGTCCGTTTTTTTCTTAACGGGCGGATGGCAAGAGGTTAACTTATTTAAATGGACGTATGTGTGCAGGTTTAAGTTTACTGTTTACAATCGTATTGCTTTGTAAAGTACAAACACTTATTTTTAAAATTAAAAATAAACTTTCCTTTCAAGCACCTTTCTCATAACCTTGTGGCCTCCATCATCTCATGTGCAGATATTTAATTCCATGCTTCATTGAGTACAAATGTCTTTAGGTCATAGTATGTAACCCAATGAGAGATGGCCTCTCTTATAAAACACGACTCCTCATTACTTGGAACAAGTAACAATTGTGTACTCATGGCTTTTATGGATTCTTTCTAATTGTTTTATTTTTCCTTCTACATTTTTTTACAGGTGAATTATTTTAAATATTTTTATTAATATTGGCTTATCTTATATGCTTAGGTGGAGAATCTGTGGCAAATTCTGTGGCAATGCGGATTGTGATGGGCAGCTGGTGGCTTTTTACCCTTATTGTGTGTTCCTCTTATACAGCCAATCTGGCAGCATTCTTAACTGTGTCAAGGATGGACAACCCAATAAGGTACAGTTAATTTTATTATCTCAGTTTTTATGTCATTTAACTCAAAGTATGACATTAAAGCTTTGTTTCTAAAAGTGTTTGTAACATTCATAAATGTGGTATGCCTTTGGTTTATGTCTTAACAAACAGATTGCAAACTGTTGTCTAGAACTGCCGAAAATGGAAAATGTTACTAAAAGCGCCCAAAACTTTCATTTTAATTTGGTCCATAGTGTAAAAAGACACTATGGAGCTGATTATTTAAGTGAGGGAAATGTGCAAAAGTCAACTACAGTTCGTCTGTGTGAAATTTGAGCATCCAACCATGAACAAAAGGACTCTTCTTCAATGTGATTGGATACGTGAAGTACACGTCCATTTATTCTGCTGCACTTTACTTCACTACTTAACAGTTTGGGAAGTGAAATGCAATTAAGTGAACCTTTGCTTGCTTCAAACTTCTAGTCAAATGCAGGGTTATGTAAAATTAAACTTGAATAGTACATTCAGTGGCCACATTGTTAAAATGCAACACAGTGTACAAAAATCTTACGTTTGGACAGCGATTATAAAATAATTGGTTCCCCAGTACTTTCTGGCATAGGCCTTCTAGATGCATCTTTTGAGTTTAATGTTATTAGGTCTCCTGCTACCTGGATAGGCTGGACAGTTAAGGTGAAGGAAAGCCTGATTACCTCAAGATGCATATAGAAGGCTTAGGCAACTGCTGGGTGGGGAAAGGGGACCTCAATGAAATGTGAATTGTTCATATTGAGGCCTTGTTCACACCAAATGCAGATCAGATCTGCATGAGTTTCTGCACATGCAGTGCAGTGGGTTTTGCCACGTTTTTGATGCGTTCCAGGCTGTTTTTGGTTAAAAAATATATTTGTTTTAGTTTAAAATGGCCTTTCAGTGCGTTCCAGGCATTTGCATGCATTTTTGATGCGTTTGCATGCGTTCCAGAGCAGATCCAGAGCAGGTAAAATAGGGCCTGCTGCCTGTGATGTGAACTGGAGCTAAAAATACCATTGGAATACATTGGACACAGTTTTGCTCCGGTCTATAACTGCTCTGCTCCTGGAACGCGCTTGGTGTAAACAAGGCCTAAGAGTTGATCTGCATTAAAGTGACAGTAAACACAGGAGTTAAACCTTAAAGGACATGTCCACCTTTGTAAGTGATTTTGAGTTTTTGGTGGTAATGTGGAGGTGCAGGGGGGATGTACATGTGTGTGTATTCTCAGGAGTCACATGGCTGTTTTTCATACTTTATTTTATAGATTATTTTACAGGCCAGAGGCCTAGAAGTCCAAAATTCCCTCCACAATATATTCAATCCGTCTCTCAGAGGGTCGGGTTGTTATTGCTAAACTGCAATCAGCTGTTTCCCCCCTCCACCCCCCCTCCCCTCTGAGAGAGCAGAGAGCAGAGATGAGTCATCAGCACAGCTTCTCAGAGCCCCTGTGTTAGAATCTCCTGTCACTTGTCCTTTTCTATAGACTTCTCTCTGTGTCCTGTGTCTCTCTCCGATCTCTTCCCCTTATCCTGGGTCACATTTATTCTCTGCTGCCCCAAGTCCAGGTCCCCCAATGTCCCCCCTCCTCTCCCCCCACCATTCTTCTCATTTACAGATATGACTGCTAGAACAGATAAAAAGACATTGGGGGGTAATTGATTAAAATTGGAGTGAACAGAATCTGGAGCCATTGCTCATAGCAACCAATCAGCTTCTCTCTTCAGTTTGTTCCGTTAAGATTTGAAAATGAGAGAGAGAAGCTGATTGGCTGCCATGCACAGCTGCACCAGATTTTGCCTTCTCCAGTTTCAATAGATCCCCCCACTGTGCAGTGTCACCGGGGATGTGCGGGGAGCACATCTCTGGTGACCCCGCACATCTCTGGTGACCCCGCATATCTCCGATAACCCTGCAAATCCAGGTTCCTCAAACCAATCAGCTTCTCTCCAGTTTGTTCAAGTAAGATTTGAAAATGAAAGAGAGAAGCTGATAGGTTGCCATGCACAGCTGCTCTAGATTTTGCCTGCTCCAGTTTCGATAGCTCACCCCACTATGTGGTGTCACCGGGGATGTGCGGGGTCACCAGAGATTGTGCGGGGTCACCGGGGATGTGCGGGGTCACCAGAGATTGTATGGTGTCACCGCACACGTGCTCTCCGCACATCCCTGGTGACCCCACAAATCCCCGGATGACCCCCGCACATCCCCAGTGACACCACACAGTGAGGGATCTATCGAAACTGGAGCAAGCAGAATCCAGAGCAACTGTGCATGGCAACCAATCAGCTTCTCTCTTCATTTTCAAAACTTACTTGAACAAACTGGAGAGAAGCTGATTGGTTGGCTTATGTGTGTATCACTCAGCTGTAGATCTTCAAATCATCTCTGAATTCATGCTGACATTGTCCACTGTCCTACTATTTGGGAGCAGTGCAGCAGCATTGTCTTCCCATCATAGGATGCTGCATGAGGTAGACTTTACTGGTAGGATTCACAAGTAATTGTAAGACTTTGAAAGGGGATGAATGGGAAACTGTAAGGGTAGAACTGCTGTAGCACATATTTTTAATGGAAGGCTATAGTTCAACAACCCTGTAAGTTCTGATGCACTCAAATGTAGATGCAGCAGCACGCTGCCTTTTCCTATCTGTATGGAAAGCAGATGACATAATAGAAAATATGGCAAAATTACTGGAATTGTACTAAACTGATTCAGACCATGGATTAACAGAATTTGGCATAATGTATAACTGCTTTTATATATTATGGGATACATTCTTCTAGAGAGGAATCTTACAACTCCTTCCATTATATTTAAATATAAACTTAAAGATAATTTCCAAGGATGGACAATGTCCTTAATTGGAACCTTCTAAATGTATGAAAAATCATCACACATTCATCTGTTGAACATGCTAATATAACATATACCATGTTAAAAACATAGTGGTTGTTGCTGCTAACGTTAATTAATCCAGCCTGGTGAATGAGTTTGGAGTTTTACAAATTATCTCCAAGATCTCAAATGAAAATTAGTAAAAAATCAGAATGGGTCAAAATTAGATGTGGATGTAGACAATTATTTTGGTGACATTTCTGCTTTTTACATTTATTCCTGAGAATAAGTTCAGAAGTAGGATTGTACTCTACTTTATTATCTATTTTATTAGGTAGTTTTAATGTGTGATATTCCAGAATGAAATAGTCGAATAATTGCAACCCTTTTATTGTTCTTTCATGCCTTTCAGCCTTATTCTTTTTCTGATGTTCCATCTAGTGGCACGTATTAAACAGAAAAGACTGCTTAGCCAAAAAAAAAGTTCCTCAAAATGAAGCTTAGTTGATAGCATGCTAAACAATATGACTTAAATAATGTAGTGATAACAACAGCCATGCATTTCAAATCCAAGCACCAGCAACACTGTTTTTTTCTGTCAGAAAGCAATCTATCTGTGATTGGAGAGGCGAGAGTCTGGAGACTGAAGAATCAGATATCCCACAGGGATGACTTGCTTACAGCTTTTACACCACTGCTGTGCCAAAGCTTCAGGTGCGCTGCGATGTCTGGAAGCAATGAGAATCCTTTGAGAAGTGTAACTTTTTACATCATTTACTATTCCTCGCTGTTTAAAAATGAAGAACAGCCTGGCAATCTGTGCTAAAAGATGGTGTTTGGAAAGCACTGCATACGCACATCATTTTCAAGTTGTCTGAGATATGTTTTAGATTAGCTCTTCTAAAGAAATGGATACAAGTAAAAATATAAGCCGTGTAGTTTGGCAGTAAAATTAGGTTATAAATCTTGTGATGAAATTATACGTGGAGCTTGAAGTGATATTAATCTTTTTTTTGTTTTTTGATAATTAGTCTTTATACCCTTTATTTCATTTTAAACAAGGGAATATAAAGTGTGCAGTCACAATGTAGTAGAAGTATGTTTGCTTCTTGCCATTAAAGTGTATCAAAAATCAACTTTTCTTTTTAGGTTTAGATACATTGTAGGAAAGAACTGCTATAACCGTTCTTTTTTTTCCTGGTCACTATTATCACTGAGACAGAAAGTAATAGGAACCAGTTGTTTCTGCAACAGGAGGTGAGGGGAATTTTTCCATTGGGGACACATTAATCCAATATAGTTGGCTGCATTAATTCGCTATATTTTAACTATGGTCATTTGAATTAAGATACAGATCTGCTCTAAAGTACTTCATGTGCCTTTACCAATAAAAATATGTTGGCTGCCCTTGACCAGTTCATAGGACCATAGAAAAGACCAGGTGAATTATTGTCTTTTTTAAAATCTAATTCACTACCTTTGCTGAAAGTCTGTTAGAAGCATCCACTACCCTTTGGGTAAAATATTGCTTTCTAACCTTACTTGGCTAGCTTTAGGTCATACACCCATGTTCTTGCTTTCGGCTTCATATTTGCACTACTGAACCTATTTCACCTCAATGTATGTAAAGGTTTCAATCAAACTCCTTCCTTTTTTCCGTTGAAGCTGTACATAAACAAAACACCTGGAGTCTTGTGATATGTTTTATTATCCATCAAAATCAATTATGTTGCCCTTCCCTGAACTCTCTTTATTTTATTAATATCATGTCTGCAGAACAGGACACAGTCTTCTAAATTGTGCGTCAGGCTACCTGACTTCTTTTGAACTGTATACACGACAGAAAGTGAAGTTTTAGATTAGTCAGACCACATGATCCTCATACTAGTTTTACGTTTGCAGCTTAAAAGTGATACTAAACTCAGGAGTTAAACCTTAGAAATGCATTCTAGTACCTTACCTATTAACAAAAATGTGTCTTATTTGTGCATCACTCAGCTGTAGATCCTCAAGACATTTCTGAATTGATGCTGACACTGTTCTTCCTTCTCGATGGTGGGTACTTTTGTTCTTCATGGTCCCTGTGTGTGTTGTATAGTTGTATAGTAGCCACCACTATATTAGCCACCACTCCAAGCTCACTCCCGTGATGGATTACAAGCTTACA